CCGAGACAATCCTAGCCCTTCTTCCGCATCTTCAATCAGGTAACACAACTAATCATGCAACAGTACTACTACTAAATCAACACAACAGTCTTGGCCATAAATTCTACCTCTACCATAGAAATAAACACAGCTTTTAGGAATAGCTGCAGGTTTAGCCTGATTCACCATCATCCACTACAACGGCAATATTAAACTACAATTAACAACTTTTTTTGACAACATTTTTAGATTTGCAATAGTAAAAATGAATTTATGGTAGAATTGCTTTTATCGCATTAAACTGCACAGCCATGACCAATAATCAAATGATCCCCGTTAGGCCTGGTAACATTATCAATCGAACAGCTCGGTGGACGCGCTCAGGTCAGTGGAGTCGCTTGCTAGTTTATTAGGTGAGTGGGGAGAGTTGTTATTGCTGTTGTCTAAGCTGACATAAATGCAGTGGATAAAATAAGAAAAATTTAACACGATCCAAAAACACCTCGAACTAATCGGCCAAAATAACAATACGTTTGAATCGACAGTTTCAGCACTTTTGACAAACATTGAACACCTTTACCGTCATAGCACCTTTTTTTTTTTTTGCAGGGTTCTTGTATTAGACAACATGTAGATCATGTGCATCACATGTCGCCTGGTTTACTGAGTGCAGTTACTGCTTCTCCATGCATTGGTGGGTTATGGTGAACAAGTAAATGCTGCTTTTTCTTTCTTTCTTTAAAGGGCTCCCCCTGCTGTACGCTTACTGTAAACTAACAAACTGTGTTTTTAAACAGTACTTCTCCGGCTGGATGAGGGGAAGGCAGCCTGTGTGGGCTCGACTCTGTCGGCCCTGCAGAAGCAGCTGTCCCGGCTGCCTGTGCCTTACACGGAGCAGCAGGAGGAGGCCGATGAGTACGGCCTGTGCCGCTGCAGCGCTGCCTTGACTGTGTTCACAGAACCTTTTGTGGAGGAGGTGAAAAGGGCAGATGGAAGTTGTGCTGCTACAGCTGAAGATGAGGAGCTAAAGATTGAGCTTCTGAAGTTGTATGTTTCTCTCTGCAACTCTGTTTATTTGTAGTTATTATTATTAATGATATTAAATACAAATGGCAAAGCAAAATGACTTCGAATTGAATAACTGATTGCATTCTCTGTTTAGCTGCATGAGGAGTTTGAGAGAGCCTTTGCTTGAGGCTGAACTGAAGCACGACAGAAGATCACCATTGTGGCTCTTTGCAGTAGAGATAATGGTACGGGCAAAGTCACTTCACTTTACTTCTAGTTTTTTTATTTAGAACACAACATGTTTTAGTTATTTAGTCCAAAGTCACATGTGTGCATTGCAGGTCACACTTTCTGCAATCAAAGAGCCTCTTCCGGAGCTCTTATTCTTCAGCTCACTGAGGAAAAACATCCTGATGGACAATAATCAGTTCACGGAGGCGAGAGCATGTCTGGCTTATCTGCTGTTTGTTCAGCTCATTACCATTGACAACTTTCCAGCAGTGTTTAGGTAACGTGAGCAGCCACATTTTACTTACTTAAATTTACTTCCACTAAAAACTATTAATGTTGAACTTTTCCTGCCTTTCTAGCCATGTGTTTATTCTCCAGTGCAACATGGAATACATCAGTCAGCTGCTCAGCAGGTATGCTGTTAACACAACATTAAGTGAACATGTTTTCTGTTTTAGAACAAACTTACAATCAGAGTCATATCTGTGTTTCTCTGACAGCAAAAAAGAATCACATTTGCTCAAAGGATTGGTAAGAGCCCATCAGTATGAAAAACATCTGAAAGCAGAAGACTGAGTTCATTTTAATTGCCCATAATTATCTATTATTAGGCGCTGTTCACAAAAAGCTTGGAGCGTGTGCAGGACAACAGCCTCCCAGTGAGTCTGCTGGATCTGAAGAGCTTCTACAGTGTGACACAGGTAAGACAAGCAGCCGTGCCAGACTCATTTCTATTTCTCAGGCTGCATACACACACAGGCCGGAGCAGCAGAATTACAGAAAAGCCTGAGATGTCTTAAGTCTGTTTGCATATTCACTGAGATCACTGTCAGTGCATGCATGTCACTCTGTGACCTTCACCTTTAAGGTCAAGGTCACTGAGATTCAAAACCTGTCCGAGATTTTTCGTGGTTGCTTCTATGGTATGAATTTAAAAATCCTAAGTTGGCTCATTCTTGAGCTATTATTTACAAGATTTTTAGAAACTTGACCTTTCCTTGAGTTCAAGGTCACTGAAAATCAAACTCATCTGATACTTTTAGTAGAAGCAATTTCCAAGCAAGCAAATTTCAAAATCCTCATTCTCGAGGCCAAGCTGCTTTAGGTAAAGAACTGACAGTGAACTGTCAATCTGCAGCCTACCTCAGTTTCATAGGGTTTTATGTTTCATTGTTTAGCTGTCACACATAAACCATTTGTTGTTCGCACTCACTGCTCTCAGTGCTTTTATCCTCAGCAGGCAGCTGTTTTCAGTGAAAGGCGCTTAAGAAATCAAAACAAGCTAGTCAAGTAACTTAAGCAACCCAATTGGCAAAAGCAAAGGGAGCTCCAAATGAAGCTGAAGAATGCTTGCTTGCACTCTAAACTGCAGGATGGATCCGTGTCTTTAACGTGATACAGCTCTCTGCTCCCCTCTAGTGGCCTAAAAATGTTATTCAAAACTACAAAATAAGCATCAGTTGGTAAGCTGTTTTTTGTTTTTTTTTAACGTGATGAGACTTTGAGACTCAGCCTGTGAAGTGGCTGTAAACTATAATATTATAGTTGTAACATTTACTGCGATTCACAGCTGTAGCTGACTTAAATGACTCAACCATAACACCGAAAGCTCAGTGAGCTGTTTTGTGCTTAAATTCTCAGAACCTGCGGCGAGTTCTTACCGACTGTCCAATACAGCACTTGGTGAGTGCTTCATTAGTGGTCAATATGGGGAAAATGTTTGACTTTTGCTACACTATAAAAGGCATACATCTGTTCGCTCTTCCGTCTGATCATTGCTCCCCCAGAGAGAATCGGGCCTGCAGGTTTTCCAGGTATTCATCAATAAATTAGATGCAGAAGCAAAGCACAAATTCTTCAGGTGAGAAAAACAGTTTCAATTGCAGTTGCAATTTCTTTCCAGGTGTGAAATTAACGCCCATTATACAGCTATATATAGACTACTTTAACACTTTATTAAAAACAAATGGCCCACAGCATATTCTTAACTTGTCCCTCTATTAATTTACTGCTGCTTTTTGTTTTTGTTTTTTTGCTGTTGTTGTAGGTGCATGTTAAAAACCAGCAATCACGCAGGAATAGAAAGTTATATAATCAAGAACATCAGGAATCAATTTGAACTTTCTATGAAGGTGAGAAAAACACGAGAGTCACGCCATAGCCTGCATTTTTTTTCTCTACACGTTAAATGTACTACAACTCTTTTACAGTGGGGTAACGCCAATGAGTGGTTCTTGGGAACGGAGTTTATTTCACTGATGACACTGGTGCTGTGCTTGCCACAAGGTGCTCAGACAGATTTGCTCAGCAGTATGGACAAGTGAGTAACGAGAAAAGTTTGAAGCATTATTACAGCAGACTGGAGGAGGTGGAACCTGGTTACCTGAAGCACAAAGTCAGTGGAGTGAGACGTAATTATAATTCTTGATTATGGCAAAATCGTAAACATGGATACTTTGGCATGTGCTGAGAGCATAATAGTAGCTTTATTATACTTTAAAAAGAAAAAACTTTTTTTAATGAAGCAAATTCCATTTAACTGTCATTATAATTACAACCTAGACTTTGGGACACCTGGAAATTGAAATAATTACCCTTAAGTACCCCGCCTCTCGCTCTATGACAGCTGGGATAGGCTCCAGCGCCCCCCGCGACCCTGAAAAGGATAAGCGGAAGCGAATGGATGGATGGAATATAGGCTCAAAGGCATCCTTAGAATATTTTGACCTTTGAAAGAAATACAGAAAACCGTATCTGCTACCAAAATACATGGAGTTAATGGAACTAAATTAAAGCAATTTTCAACTTCAGATCTAATCAAGTTAAAAACTATCCTACAGAGATTCAAAGACAAAAGTCTGTCATTGTGTGAACTGGGAAGCTTCATCCAGATTGAGCCATTAAGTAACACTCTTTGTTTATCCAGGGTAATGGAGAGCCTAAATCTGCTACGCTATGTTCTTATCAGAGACGAAGAGCTGAGAACCAATGTAAGTAAGTCTAATACAAAGCTTTCAGTTAATGCCTGGTTAGGGCAGGACGCTGATCATCTGTTCTGCCTTCCTTTAGGAAGATGTGTGGGAAGAGTTGTGCAGGATCAAAGAGGAATACCTAAAAATGCTGCGTGTATGTATCAGCATATCAAGAGCGTATTATTCCTCTGAACTGAAAGCACTGAGGGAGGACCAAAAGCTAAAAGCAAAAGGTAGGAATTAGCTACTAATCTGTGTGACAAATTTCCAGTCAAATAAGCTTTACACGAATAGTTTAAGAGTCTATTTTTATACTGTCAACACTTCCTATTGCCCAGAAGCCAGAGATGCTGCTCGACCCACTAAATTAGTCAAAAGCATCACAGTAAGGAAGGAGAAAGTGTCCAACATGTCCCCGGAGGTCCAGCATCAGGTCAGGAAAACTCTTCTAATTTAATAATTTTCATTTATGTTTTGGACTCTACGACTAGCAAGCTGACTTTTGTCATGTTTCTCAGGTGCTGCAGAGTGCTTTGGTGACATTTGACCTCATGGAGAGTCTTATAGTCCGAATCGAAGAGATCACAGAGGAAAAACGGAACAAACTAAACTGAGGCTCTGAATTCAGACCCTTCAATATTTTTCTAAATATATCTTTATTTGGTTTGCTTTGTTTGACTGAATAAAGTGTGTGCTTATATACAAGAATGTATACAAGATGATACTATATACTGAAATGTCTGCTTTTCTATGTTCAGCACATTGGGCTCCTGCTGGTTAGCATTAAATAAAACATGTCGAATCACCTGCCTGGTTTTGCAGCATGTCTCTTAACATTTCCCACACAGGACTGCTTTCAATGATGTGAGCCCGAGCCAGAGAAATCCGGTCCCGGATGCTGTCTACATGGGGTTTACTGGTGGCCTGCAGGAAGGTGTGGCTTAATTTAATTCAAGGTTTCACAAGGACACATCAATTTATCTCATTTATATTTAAAATATACCAAATAGCTGCGCCTCCATTGTTACCTTGGCAATTGTTAACATCCCTTTAACAATTTCATCAGTGTTTTGCACAGGCAGGATCCTGAGATTGCTGCCAAAGAATCTGTAAGAAATAAAGACATCCTTAGTACGATATAGTTATTCTGTTTTCAATATAGAACCTTTAAAAACAAAATCCACAAATTCTTTGACAGACAAGAAAAAAAGCAAAGTTAGGGGAGATAAAATACAAAAAAGATACCAATAGCAATAATGACAATTAAAAAAACAATTACTCTGAAAATATTTACAGAGTCATAAATATCTATGGTTGATTTTTCAGAGGCTATTTATTCTCCTGTAGCCTGCTTATTGGTTTGAATATGTAGATAGCCATATAATCAACATAGAAGTTACTGTAGGTGGACAAATTTCAGGTTGGCAATCAATAGACAAACTAAATAATAAAGAACCCGGGGCTGACCCATGAGGTACTCCGACATCATCATTATTATATCCTCAAGCTGCTGTCACAAAGCCTTGTAACCAGAGCGTTAGAATCAGTTAAGTAAAGCAAAAATGACACAACATGACTATTAATCTACCGGTTTTGAATCACAGTCAGCGTTTCCAGCTCCTTTTTTCCTTTAAATGGTGAACGAAGGAGTAAAAAGCAGTTGCGGTGGACTTGCACAAATTTCTTTATCCTCTCAAAGACTCCCGATTCTTCAGAGGGCTCTGGGAGGTCTTGCGCATCAACCATCAGGAATGCAGTACCTGCAATAAATAAAAAACAACAACAACAAAAACTCACACACACACATATATATATATCTGTAAGTATGGGCTTTAATTCTGCCACAATCAGGGATCTGACCAAACGAGTTACACTCACACCCTCTCCTCTGTTGGTAAATTAATGTATATGTAGGAGTACTTTTTACTTAATCACTTGAAACATATTTTGATGCTAAAACATTCCCACTAGGCTACTTAAATAGGATTATGACTTAAGTAAAGAGTCTAAATCAGGGGTGTTAAACATAAGGCCCAGGGGCTTTAGGACAGCTTTAGAAAATGTGAAAGAGTGCAAAGATTTAGAACTTTTAACTGCATTTTCATAAGTTTCATAAGTTTTAGAGCTTTCCCAGTTGATATAAACCCCGACCCCCCACTACCATCACACTAAAAGTATGAGGTCATTTACTGTGAACAATGAAAACTTTACATTACATTATTAAAATCCACTGAGTGTCTTATAGAAAACAGAATAATGTCTTATAGTGGGTTATAAAATACACGGCAGGTGTACTGGGGGACTCGGGTTTACCCGATAGAGGAAAAATGAAGGCTCCGGGATGAACACTGTCTGAAAACCTGATGCGGTGCTGCTGAGCGTTTAGCATCCTAATGATTTCGTGGCTCTGTGGAAACAAAATGAAGATAAGTTAACTGCTAGCATCGTTAGCTGGTACAGTTCTTTATTCAAAGTCAGAGGTGGGCAAATAACTAATATTTCACGTATTTTGTCGGTGCTAGTGCCTTGGCTTCATGGCTAAAGCTCTTTATGTTAACTTATTTTTTTTATAACTGCCACCAGAAACCGACCGAGCAAAACATTTTGACGGTTCAGGTTAAACTTTCTAACATTACCTGAAGCGATGTGCTGACAATAATCGTTGTTTTCCACTGAGGAGTCCCTTCTCTGCATGTCGCCATTGCCTGCTAGTTATTAACAAGTGAACGACACGGTTCCGATGACGACACTCTCAACCCGGTTACCGTTTTTGGTCCAAAGCTGTTCCTGCAGCAGATTCAGCCGTCTGTTGTGTCATGCCACCAGGACGCCACCAGAGGGCGCTGCGGTAAAACGTAACGTCCTGTTTTGTTTAATTTCCTTTTCTCCTTTAAATGGGGCGTGAAATAAAAAGTTCCTGTAATTATCTGCCATTCCAAATACCAGCTTTTTTAAAGCTGAAGTTAAAAAGTGTTAAGTTTAAATATGGACCAATTTGTAGACTTCAAAACTTAAAATATTAAAATTAGACAAATGCTGGTCGTATTTTGCTGTCATGCAATTAAAAGTAAAGTTTGGGACGTGCAAGTGCTAATGCATATTGATATTTCTAGCCGTAGTCTGAAAAAAAAAAAATGCACAAAGTAGTCAACTTGACCCAAAGTTATTAATCACACTGCTCATTTCTTTCAGAAACACAAACTTTTATTTTTAGTATGACACTAAATGCAAGCCATGAGGCTAATTTTATTCTTCTTTAAGAAATTCAGTTCGTATTATAATTAGAAGACTGTCAACAAAGGATATTTCTGAAAAGGAAATATAGTTCTGACCCTTATTCTTTTCTAGAGCTTCTGAAGCAACACCAATGAAACAATCAAACATACAAAAATGTCAGCATGCATAACAAGCCTGTTTGTGTTGAGAAACAGCCCAATAAGGGCACTATGAGGAATGCAAATAAACAGAATCCAGAGTTCCGTAGAGTCCAACAAAAGACACCAGTCATAAGAACAGAGACAAAATGATATTTTAAATTATAATAAAATAAGACAAAAATCAACGTAATGACATTCAGTTCAAACAGAAGGCGTCAACTGTCCGGCAGGGCTCTCCTCTGAAGTCAGTGATGTGTTTCTAGCTCCACGATGGTCCACTCTCCCTGTGGAGAAGCAGCATCTTCTGGGGAGAAGCTGGTTACAGTAATGCTAGTGGAGGAGTCCTCCATGGGTGAGATAAGCTCCGCCCAACGTTTGAAGGTCTCCTTCTCTGGGGACAGGAAAGCCTGCGAGTCCAGACAGTCACGTGACAGAGACAGAGTCTGCTTGATAAGATACTGGGCCAGGTTGAGCTCCTCAGGTACGGGGTTTATGACACCCAAATTGGACGCGTGGTCTGTCAGGAGCTGCTTGAGCAGGCTCCAGTCCCGCTCTGCAAAATCGCTGCTTTTATCCCCGTCCCCTGTTTGCTTTTCTTCCTCTGCTTGCCGTTTAACATTCCTGTCCTTGTCCGAAAAGTGCTCAATAGCTTCCCCCACATCCATCTCGTAAATGGGGGACAGGGCTTTGGATGGTCGGCGGTCATGTTTGCAGCTTTGATCCAATCTGTCACAACCAATGTCCCCTAAAAACAATTGACAATACTGCACAATGACAAACTGAATCATTCCTGCACAGGTCTTTTACTCATTTTAGAGACTAATCGCTGCAAACTAAAATAAAAAAATATATTTAAAAAACATGACAGAAAATTTACCCTTAATGCAACTGCTCCCTTTAAAACACACAACAACAAAAAAAACAAACAAACAAACCCCACAAAACCCCGTAGTGATGTCAGGTGACGACAACACAGTGAGCGAGCAGTGATACTGATGATCACATATGATTATCACCACAAATTTCAAGTTCATCAGTTCAAAACTCACTCATCACTTTAGATATGCACGTCAAAAGGCAAACAGTTGCTTTGAAGGTAATGTACAGAGGTTTGCTTTGCAGGATGCATCTCTTTATCCACCTGTTTAAACAAAGTAAGCCATGCACTACCAGCACCAGTGAGCTTTGCATTTGCCAGAAAGTAACAGTGATATGTTTTGATATTCACGTGCAGGCAGACGTAAGAAACAGACTTAAATACTGTCACAGAAACCGAAATGCGAGCAACAATGCTTTTACTTAGTTGCACAAAAGATGGCATAACACCATGTTTCTTTAGACATTCTCTGTCTTCTCTACTTTTAACAAATTACAAAAATGGCAAAAGACTGATAATTACAAAATATTTCATGGTTGCATAGGGATAAACCCTTGGAAGTGGTGCAGCAGGACTTCTTTTTCAGGAATATGATAGTGAAAAAAGAGAGACATGGCAGGACAATGAAGACTGCTCTAGACACACGTTACGTACGTTACAGAGGAGGCTACTGACACTACACAAAACCTACTGAACAGAAGTGTATAGACAACAAAACACTTTCCTTAAAAGATGGACCTCTACGTGTCTAGACACAGGTCTACTGGGTATGATGGAAGATGATGGAAAAATCAAAATATAAAACATAAATAAAGGATGGTGCTGATAATGATAAAGCAATTTCAACAACGGCATGCATGTGTGCTGTGCAAAATTGAAAAAAAGGTAAACAAAAGTCAGAAAGAGGTACAATCTTGAATACAAATAAAAAGAAACAGAAAAGCCAGGGACACGTTTCCTAGCATAACAATCTTTTCTGAGCAGCAGTGGCAGTTTGGTGTCATCTACTTTGTACAAACAGTTTGTATATTTGGACTTTTAAGTCAGGTAGTTACTCTCCAAAGATTTGGAAGAAAAAGGAAAAGAAAAAAAACCCTAACAAGTAATTTACCTGATTACAATTTTGAAAAGGTGCTACGTATAACATTTTAACACCAAAAAAATAAAAATAAAATCATCTATGAACAACAAAATAAAACATCACTCCGCTGCAGTTTCACTCCCACATGATTCTCAGTCTTACTGAAGATTTGAGGTAATCTGTTTCCATGTAATAAGACATTGAACATCTTTTATTACAGTCTGGTGTTTCCATGCGTAGAAGCACTTAAGTGCAACATTGTGACAACCATGAAAGTGAATCAATGCGCCATGCATTAGTTTTTCTTAATGCGTCTCTTTGCCATGTTTTTGCTCAGAAGATGGATGTCTACTGTTCAGTGCAGCAGTCATTGTTATAATGTTGTGCTAAATCCTCTCCCTCTTTTTAAGTACTTGTACTTTTATTTAAAAAAAAACAAACAACAAAAAACAACCCTGCAGGGGAACGGTGGAGCTCAGAAACCGCTGTTATACTAAATCATACTCTAATAAAAGCTGGATGTAGCCACTGTGATGCCACCTACTGGTTAATGGACTCATTGCACTTCTAAAGCTCATCATCGATTCTTGAGCAAGAGATGAACATATTTAGACTTGGAGTGCCAAGTTATCAGCTGACGTTTGTATGCTTGGTTAGCAAGCTGTATCAATAAACTGCACCTGTTAGGTAGTGCTGAGTAACAGGCTAATAAATTACTAAAATTTCACTCACACAGACAGAAACTATCCAGTCTGTAACAGAGTTATTTTCAATTCAACAGTGGAGCTGATCTGGTCTGACTTTGGAATCAGCCTCAGGTGGTTATTATCAGAGGAACTGTTTTTAACACTTCCGCTCTGGCTACATTTTTCAGCCCTGAAGGTTGCTGCTTGATATCCGTCAAAACGGGAAGGATACAGCTAGAAAGCAATTTAGTTAAACAAGACAAAATGTTTATTTTAACCTTTGTGGTTTATAATTTGGATTCTATCATTTTCGAGCTTTTAATACAATTAGAATTGGAGTACAAGTGTCCATGTGGGGGGGAAAAGCCAAGCTACATGCTACAGTGCAATTTATCCCTAAGAAGACACCAACGGAAAAACAAACACAAATAGAGTGTCAGAAAGAAAACAGGTGCTGTAGCAGCATGTTCTCATACAGCAGCCAGTGAGATTTATGAAAAATATCTTGATTACTGGCATAACAAAATGATCAACTAAACTATAGTCTTATAGTGCGAGGAATCATACAAGCGAAAGAAAATGAATCGATAAACTGGTATTAAAATGCTTTATGTAGCACCTTCAGCTATTTCAAATGATCTGTGGCTCAAAACGGCCAAAGATTCTTCCACTGCATAAAAGAAATGAAAAAAAATGATAAAAAAATTTATTTTTTATGTACATAAAAGTGCATTGAAAAACCTATGTCACAAGCCTTGTCAGAAACAAGGCAGATTATTTTAGGCAAATACAATTTTATGATCATTTTTAATGAAATGTACACTGTTTTTCTCTTTGATAAACTGAGTTTGAGCCTACATGCCTCAAACTAAAGGTAGTTCAGTTGTTAAAAGATGTACAGTTTCGATGGGACCAATTTCCATCTGTAAAAGGATATTGATGTTGCAAATTCAAATTCACACCAGCTACATGAGAGGGCTGAGATGAGAGAACGTTTTTAGCTATTAAAGAATTATGACTATAGATTTTATTTGAATTTGAACTTCTATTTGTTACTAGTTACTAAACTAGTACACTTTGTAATATCCTTTTTTTCTGAAGGTGGGGTAAGGTATATACTGGAAGTAAGTAAGGTAAAGGAATTAAAGTAAAAGTAAATGAATCCTGTGGGGATAAAATATACCTTCACTGATGGAGAGTGGGGGGATAAGATGGGTTTGGATTTGGGGTCTAGGAAGGATCCGGAGATCATACATTACCTGCTGGAGATTGTGCAGCATGTACAGGAGAGTCCCCTGTCAACTGAGACTCATTTAAGTCTAGATGTAAATCAGCTTTCTTGCTTTCTGAAGGATTGGAGTAATTTTTGCTCATCCCTCCATTGTACTGTTCAGTGTGACGCAGATCCAGATGGCATGGGCGTTCTTGGGGAGGCGTATCTCTGGTGTCAGAGCCCAGGGGAGGACAGCTGGACTTCACTCTGTCTACCTGGATGTGATTTTCCTCCTTCTGCGTGGTGTCCTGGATCTCTGTAAGGAATACAGATTTTTCTTCCTGGTCCTCCTCAGGTTTTTTGTGCTTCATACCTGTGTTTTCAACATGATGTGGCTGGTGGTTCTGTTGGTCACTCAAAGGGGCGCTACTGAACTGAGGAGCAGAAGAGTCATTATCAAAAACATCACAGGGAGTCACATCTTGCTGCTGAGGTGGAGTTTGGACACCGCCCTCCTCTGAGCCCAACTCCTCGCACTCATCAACAGACAGCAACACTGACCGACGGAAGTTAGATGACTGATAGTCTGGTTGCTCG